AAAAACTACTCGTGCGATTTTTACAAAACTTGGAAGTTTGGCATAGTTTGAGTCATGAAATCGAAATATGAAAAATAAATTCGCATGTCATTTCAGAAAAAGTCGGATTTTGTGTCAAAATACTTATATTTAAACAATGCTATATATAAATCTAATTCATATCCTAAGTCGCGCTTTCGAAACATGAAAAACGCAATTTGAATTTCGTCGGAACTGTCCCATTTTTTGATTTTTTACAAGTTGCAGAATGGTTTCGACACTTTCGGATGTTGGGCTCGTTGAAGTTCGTTCTGATCTTTCGTCGTCTTCTAGTGATGTTCTTCTGATATTGATCGCGTGCGACTAAAAGCTCCTCGAACGACCCATTGCAGCATCGCCGTACAATTGGTAAATCATGTCAAGCGTCTCTGTAGGTGGATTTGCCTCAGAATTACGCATTCACTCATTCTTCTAACTTGCTGTCCATGATGAAAGACGCACTAACGCAGGTGATTAGAACAGCACCAGCTATAGAGCTCCCAATGTAGACAGGACGATTTCTCTTGTCACACTATCTTAGGAAAGTCGGTGCTTTCTGTGCCTGTGCGTGTAACTTTTCTCTGCTAATTGTTGGTGTGTTACAGAACTAGCCTCGAAACTTTTTGACACCACCCTCTTATTTTTATTAATCCGATGTTTTCAATAGATCCAGAAATACTAAATAATATTAAGAGGTACAGGAAGAATTATATAATGCGTTTTCAAGTAATAAACACTGTAAAATAAGAGGCGTTTTGTTTGAAAAGGCGGGTATTAATTTTTAATTCCAAAAATATATTTCTGAAATGTTTAAAGTAATTAAAAAAGAATGAGACAGAGGAAAATCGCTCATTATGCGAAAATATATGAAATATGGAGAAGAGATGAAAAATTATGGTTTCACATGGCATGATGGCTGTGGTTTCAAAATTAATTTGAAATATTTTCAAAAAACATACTAATATAAACGTGCTTTTGCAAATGAATATTATTGCGTGCGTTCGGTTTCGTAATAGATTGAATGAAAAAATCCGATTATAGGTTAATGAAAATTTACTTCCTATCAAAAGAAATATTCCAGAACTCTGAAATTTTCACACAAATATTCGTACAAATGTTCACAGCATCACACGGCGGAATCAGTAGTCACTTTTTTATATTACTAAGAATGTTAAATACAATGAAAAGTGCATCTAAACAGAAAGCTAACTCAGATTTCTCAATTCGTGCGGAAATAACAACTCACAACAACAGTAACTAAACAACTGAGTTTAGATGCTCTCTTCTCCCGCTTTTATAGCTTTCAACCAATCGCGAAATATTTCTAGTATTTTCTGCTTCTCGAGATTTCTGGAAGGCAAAAAGAGTGCGAAATTACGGTTACAGCTAACATAGTGGTCAATTACATTTATTCAATTTCATTACAAGTTACTGAATATCTATCCACTTACTCAATGTTAAATGCACGTGCCCCTGTAATCTTACTTTTTCGGCACGGCTTTCTCTTAAAATTTGTCACGCGCTGCATAGCATGGGGAAATACAACAATTTTAGTTAAAATTCTACTAAAATTATCTATCTAAATACAAAATCCGTAACAATATTCTTATGAAGGTTTAAACTGTTGGAAAAAAATTAAAGCATATTTTTGCACAGACTTATAGATATTTTCTTAATTCGAAATGCGAAATCATTCAACATTTTTTTTTTTTGACTTACAGAAAACATTTTTTAACAAACAATTTACATTTGCTAGTATAGAAAGAAGACTTAAGCCTCATATGTTAATAGTTTGCTTTCAAGATTTTCATATTCTGAAGTAAATTTAATTTAGAAGACTAGCCGCAAATTCAGTAACTCTGTCGTACTATTTTTGGTTTAAAAAGTACTAATTATTAAGATAGTTAATTCCAAGTGAAGTCTTCACTTATAATCGAAACTTAACATCGCTTCTAAAATTTCTGGAGAACACGCATAAGCTTTTAAAAGTCAGACAAGGTCAGATAAATCACAGCGATAACAACAAGTATGCACGTCTAGTTACATAATGACTTTCAGATGCAAATTTCGCTTACAGAATAACTGATTTATATATTTCCATTTTCGCTTTCAAACAGGTATACATTTCTATTACCCCGTTGGATTTCTGTACGTTGGTCTAAGAAAGAGTTTAATCATGAATAAAATGGTGCAAGTGGCAGCCACATGTGATGTACCTATTGTTAATCTTCAACGTGAAGAACTATTTCAAATGAGGTAAATCACGAATACATCTATCTGTAATACATCAAAAAAATTCATACAAATAAAATTCGAAGGTAATTGTTAATACATCAATAAGACTAATTGGAAAATTTTATTTCACTGGATAATTGACTAATCGCTTTAAAATGAAAGAATGCAAGATTTGTAACTTTTGCTGGCATTTTAATAGATATCCATTTCTGAAACTCCATGAGAATGAGTATGCACTGTTGGATGACAGTGGGGCTGGTCATATCAGCCCTAGAAAAATGGTGGCTGCTCAGAAGAAAGTGGCAAAACTGCAAGGTTGTCGTATAATTCATGAGGTGGTTGAAGAAGTGGGAGAATTGAAGAATGGTGTGCATCAGGTATGTGAGACTGATTAACTGAATTAATTCTAATAATACAGCATTGTTAGTGCAGTAAATATGTGCTTTTAACAAACATATCTATCGGTCGAGCTAATACGAAAACTAACATCATTGATAGTTTAGCCGGTTCAGCATTAAAACATCAACATGGAACTGGGGAAGAATGAGCACTGAGTTGCGGTGCGCACAAAATATTTTGCTTCTTTCCAAAGTCTACTGATTTAGATTTCAGCTTTGCTTAGATCTCTTGTTAACATTTAGATTTTAATTATCTTTTTCAACAGCTATATCTCGGCTTAAGTACTATTTTAAAATGATGTCGTCCATTTGGAACAATATAAAACGTGTTATACTTTTATTTCATAACAGTACAACGCAATGTTGTTAATAATGGGTGGTAACATCAAATGGGGAAGTAGCTAGTGACTGTGACAGCCGTGAAGAAGGGCATAAGTTGGAATCCCGGAGAAGAGATGGATGTAATTTGTCTCTTCCTTCATATTAGGCAACGATGGAGATCCCGGCTTCCGCCCTTTATAGTGGCCAACACCTGTAAAAAGTTAGAGCCCGCCATTGGAAGGTTGGGAGAGTTCAACTTTTTGCAATCAAAAGTGTGTTCTTTGGAAGAGTAGCATTGATTGGTTTTACGCATGTAAATACTAAAAATCAGTTTGAGCAGAATTTTATGATTAAAACCCTCTTGATAATTGAATTATGGTATACTGTGCGCCAAAGAGTTGATTTCAAATCTAAAATCTTAATGTTAGTCAAGCTACTAATTAGACAATGGAACAATGGAATTCGTAAGATGACATAAAATACAAATATATATATTAGCATTCCTTTTCATTGAGTAAGGTTTCTAACATCATAAAGCAAATCTATATCATTAAAGCAAATAATCTGAAACTCGAGACGGAGACCTTACGTATTACCTCAAGCGTTTCTGGATTACTTATTTCTAGTTATACTGTTTCCAGGCTTTCCTACTATACATCTGTACCAGTGTTACCTTTTATAAATCTGTGTTACATCTGACACGATTTTTCACTTTATTTCGTAATGTAACCTCTTTTTAATTCTTTCATAGTTCTGGAAATCGTTTAGGAATTTTTGTGTAAAACAATTAATGCATATTTTTTCAGTCTTCATGCTACCATAAAACATTCTTGAGTGATAATTCCATTCATTTGCCAGATTTTAACTGAAAACGGAAATCGTGTGCAAGCGAAAAGGGTGCTATTCTGTACTGGAGCCTTCACCAATTTCAAGAAATTTACAGTACTAGGACAACTGGCTATCCAAGTACAGAAAGAAACAGTAGCATTCCTTAAAATCCCTCTACTAGAAGCAAAACGAATAAGGTAATGTATAGGTTATTAATTAGAATTTAAGCACTTGAAGTAGAACATTTTTAATTAGTTGTGTTTTTAATATAATTAACCGATAAGAAATCGTTTTGTGTGTGTGTGTGTATGTGATTATGGCAAAGCCTCGAGGGCTATCTGCCTAAGGGGAGGGATGCCTTCGTGGAGGACTTTCTAAGGAAAACTGGCTCGTATACACGTTACATATGGGGAAAACCACGAAAACGCCCATGCAGCCAGCCCGTCTTCTTTGTCCGTTATTGCTCGCGCCGATGATACAGATTTTGTGATGATAATATTGAATAAAGGGAAGGCTTTCTTTTTCAAGTACTTTTCCGAAGCTTTCACGCTGAAGATGCAGATTATTCCAGAAATTATTGACAGTCGTCATCTCCTCTTGTCTGTTTGTCTGTTTTTATCCACAGCGTCAGCACGAACATTTCAAAGGATGATTTTAGAGTTAAAATGCTATCGGACAGAGTAGTGCTGGAACTATTTGAACTATTTTGAACTGGACAAAATTTCCCGTTGAACTGACTTCAGTATCGGTTTGCCTGACAACGACGAAGTTTTGGCAGAAATTGTTTCGACGTTTTATGACTGGATCGCTGCTCCTCGAGTCGTTCAGACTTGTGTTACGCTGAATTCGTGAGTGTGCATGTCTATTTTATTTTGCTTTTCTTTTATAAGTAATCGTTAGGATTTGGGAAGAATTAAATTCTAACGCTTTAGCCGACTTTTTATATAGATTAAAATTTGTATTTTGCTGTTAATAGATAAAAAAAAATAATTGAGAAAGTGTTAGCTATGTTTTAAATGTTTAATTGTCATGAGTTTAAATTGAGTACATGTTTAAATGATTAATATGAGGTGTTTCACGATGATTTTTGTATTAATGGAATAATGTTTAAAATGAGATTGATATGAAAGAAAAGTATGAGTAACTTTTAAAAGATTTTTGTAGGGCTAGTCTGGCCAGCTATCTTAAATTATAATGTGTGAGAATATTCAATAAATGTGTTTATTATTTTTTATTATTGTATGTTTCTTTGAGTTAAATTGTGGTCTACTGTAGGTCACCCATGTGATCCTTACGGAACATGGTTATTCAATCGAATCTGGGTAACCATATTGCAGCAGTAGAAAAATCTGTTTTAAGAGTTGTGACTATACGATCAATTACTTAATTTATTTTGGTTTTGTGAGTAGACGTCTTAATTGTGAGATGTATCTTTCCCTGGTCTTTTGAAGAGATCTGTGTGGTATTTTAAATGTTAAGGGTTTAGGGCTATTTCTAGATTTTGTATTGAAATTTATGTGTTTTCAGGTTGGAGATCTGAATTAGTTTTATTTTAATGAGAGATAGTAGATTGATGGTTTTGTTGCGGAAGTACATTTTCGAATTTTGTTTTGATAAATAATCTTTGTTTTTTTTTACCAAAACACCAGGGAGGTTATTTTCTTCAATTTCTTTTTGATTTTAAAATGTTAAGATTTTGATTATTATGAAAGAAGTAAGTACTTAGTGCGAGTTTTTTTTTTTTTTTTTTTTTTTTTTTTTTGTCGCGGCACAAGTTAGTTAAATCATTTAAAGAGTTAATTGTAAAGGTAATTTTTTCCTTTTTTCTACGTAACAACAGTATAATTCACTTCCGGTATTTTAAAAGTATCTTTGAATTCTGTACTTGTTATTCTTAATTGGAATGTCTAGTGCAAGTTTTTTATTCCGAATTAGAAATTCTAAATTTAAGAAAGGAAAAAAAAATATGTAAAAAACTTTGTATAAAATTTAAATCGAAAAAACAGAATTTTACAAACCTATCAAAAGGAAAACATTTCATTTAAAATTCTATATTATATAAACTTGTGATTATTAAAACTGTATTAATATCCGATTAAAATTCGGATTGATGCATAGATAATGAGAAAGTCCAATTAGTAGTGACGGTTACAATAAAAGTAAATTTAACTGAGCTTTGAATACACATACTTGCGAGATCAAATTTACTAACATCATTCAGTTGATTCTCAGCTGTAAAAATCTTCCGGAAGCTTTTTAAATAATTTTTCTCATATTCTGCGAGGGATTTGCAACCCCGCTCGTTTTACGCGCATGGTAGCAGCGTAACTGGCGCCCGGGCAAAATAACTTTTTGGCGCCCCCCCCCACACAAAAAAAACTTTCAGTAATATAATGTATAGAATATATTCGTAATAAGAAAATAATGCAAATAATAATAAAATGCTGAATCTGCCATAAAATACTCAAAATATATTAAAGATTAGTCACTACCTAACTGCACTACTAGCCTTGGATTCGGAAATGCATCTGTGTCGGCGGAAAAATCAGACATACGATGATCTAGAATTAGTTAAAAAGGTGTTATTTATTTTACATATTTATATAAGTGTTTTTAAAAAGTACAGTTTTTAAACAATTAAAAGTTTAATATACATTATAGATAAATAGATATGTGGCAACTTGCCTACTACAACTCAACTCTGCCAGTCTGGTAACCCATAGCAACCAAAAACAAAAATAATATTTATTCCATTCAATTGTTATAATTATTTAACGATCTGTCTCAAAAAATTGTACTACCATAATTGGTGACACGTATTTATAGACACGTACGAATAGCAACCTTCAATGTTGCACGAATATGGATGAGTTTATATGTCTAAATTCTGAGCAGCAGTAAGTTATCCAGTGTGATGAGATGCAAGTAAGACATTTCACCTGTCATTTCAAGCGTTTTGCCGCATTCCGATGAGTCAACATATTTCTGTCATAATTTCAGCGGATATATGTATCGTCTGCTGCATTTGAGCCTCCAATTTCTCTGATTTCAAGTACCAAGAAACTGTGTCACTATATACATATTGATTATTTTTCTATACATATTATTATTGTGCATATTTGATTGATCTAAAGTGGTTGACAACGATGCTGCTTCGCAATTGGCGAGAGTGGCAGTTAAGCCACCGCCTTTTTCTCGCCGAGACCCATCGTTATGGTTCATTCAATTGGATGCGCAGTTGAGTCACATTACTGCCGACGAAACTCAATTTTATACAGTGATCGCTGCGTTAGAATCAGAGGTACTGCAATCAGCTCATGAAATAATTTTGAATCCATCGACGACGGACAAATACAAATCTTTAAAAAAAAAATTAATTTCTGTTTATGAAGAATCCGAGACAGTTAAAATCGAGCAGCTGTTGCATGATTTACGGTTGGGTGATATGAGGCCTTCTCACTTGCTGTCTAAAATGTCAGATTTAGTCGCCGGTAACCTAACGGATAACATTCTTAAAACATTATGGATGACTCCCATCTAACATGCAAACCATTTTAGCGGCCAGTAGCGAGCCACTTAAAAATCTTCCCGAAATCGCTGATAAAATTCACGAGATGGCCATTCCAGCGCAAATACACGCAGTGCAGGCTCCTGGTCCAGGTATTGTGGCGTTACAGCTTATATTGATGATTTGTCCAAACAGGTTGCTCAGTTAGTAGTCATCCAAGCTGAACCTTTTCAGCGCAACCGCTCCGCATCACGTGGTCGAAATACACGCTGTAGCCAACTGAGGAAACGTTATCAAAGCCCTCCTTCCGAGTCATAATAGTCATAATACAGGGAAGACCCAATCCTCCTAGTCCCATGGACCATATGATTATGAAAGGTCGACCCCCTCAAAAGACCAAAAAAAGAAGAAGAGAGAAAAGAAGCTAATTATCTAAAAATAATTGGAGGTTAATTAACGAACTAAAAATAAGGAAGAGACATACAAACAACGAAGCACAACACCAACATTCAAAATCCAAAAACAATGAAAAACCCCACGAGCAAACAGAGTGGCTGAAACTCTCAAGAAATATTCATTCACATGAATTTTCGGAACAGGCACAGGCGGTCCAAAGCCATCGAGGAATTCCCAATTTAAATAACCTGCAGAAGGTCAAACCGAATTCCCTACAGTATTACTTTAATAGCATATTATTTGTATAATCATAATTCTATTTAAACTATTAATTTATTTTAAAAATTTACTTTAATAGTCCTACTACTATCTGAATTCAAATGTATTAATTATCCTTAATAATCATAGAAAAAGAAGCTCCAGGACTGCCAATAACCGAAACTGGAAAAATTTAAGATTGCCATGTATCATATTAAAACCCTAGTAATTACTCCATTAAGAACAGAATATAAGAAAAATTTTAAAACTTTAAAATTTCAGAACATTTTAAAATCAAAAACTACAATTAAAAAATATAAAAATTCCATAAAATTTAAAATTTAAAAATCAAAATCCTAAAACTCAAAACCACTAATTTCGATAATTTAAATCTGGTAATCCATCAGGATTCTCAACATTTGCAAGGCCATATCTATGTAACAATCAACTGCATCTCTTCGAAATACCGCATGTACAAAACATCCACAATGCATTAAATAAAACCTACACAGAAAAATTTCAAAATTTTCGTAGTAAACCTATAAATACTCATAACTGAGAATATAATACATATAATCAAAAGATAAATATACACAATACTAAACAAATATTCCAAATTCAATATTAGAATTGATCAAATCCATTGCACATTTAGAATATGTTTTTTACGATTTTCAAGTTCCATGACTTATCTCCCAAACATTTCTTTCTCAAATTTTCCAATAAGGAACAATGATTCAAGAAGTGATCTGCGTTACCAACTTGATGGCAATGACCACACAAGTCTGAATTTTGTAAATTAAATCTCGAGAGGTACGCGGGAAATCTTCCATGCCCAGTTAAAAACTGGTTTAAATCAATATTACTAATTGGTCGCATACCATTTTGAATTTTAATAGACTTCAAAAGACCCACGCACCTCTCTGATTCATTCCATCTAGTAGTATTCCAAATATCATTATAAAAATTTTTCATGTTTCTAATTGCATAACTTCTCAAACCAGAAATTTCTATTTATATTCACAATCATCATTA